GGAGGGAGCTGTCCCTTTCTGTAGAGCTAATGAAGCCTGCACCCACAGGCATAAAGGAGTGGAGAGAGTTAGCACTGCGCTCCTTCACCCATTCACTCACTTCCTTCCTTTACACCGCTCCTGATGAGGTAATGCTTTCTCTCTTAAAGGGACACCATAAGTAATGCACCTTTACGCATGCAGCTCTTTACGACTACGGGACGTGTCGAAGACAAACTGTTTGCATGCACGATGCTACAAAGGAAACGATGAAATGGTCAGACTGGCAATAGAAAAAGAAAAATCTATTTAAACACTGTATCTTTAAAGTGTAAGGCTGGATTTATTCTCAGCCTAATCGCCAGAGGAAAATCTGCATTGTCTTTTTCCCGCAAACACAAATAACATTTGTAGGTTTCATACGTATCATATCAACATTTGTTAAGTGACGTAATACATGAGCTGACTTTGTCACTAAGAGGAGGAGGGGGTGGTGGATGGCGTGTCACCTAGGCGAGGTGCTTTCTAAGCTGCAGACCATATTTGAGACCAAGAAACTACAAAACTGGATGTAATTTAGCGAGTCATTGCTGTGTTCCCAGCTGCTTTCTAGGCAACAAACGTGGGTCTTTTTTAGTGACTCATTACTGTTTTTCCAGCCGCTTTTTAGGCACAAAAAATTGGTTGTTTTTTAAAGAGACAGTGCTACTTTTCCTGCAGGGATTGTGGGCCGAACAGCTTTGTTTTTTTACCAACACATCCCTGCTTTTCCTGTTGGGATCGTGCCCTCCAAATGGGGTGGCTCGATTAGTGCCTGTTTTTACCAACACATCGCTGCATTTCCTGCTGGTACTGTGCCTCCAAACGGGGTGTTTTAAGCCAAAGCAATCTTTGCCCCACCATAACTAAGTATTGTTTTTGCGCCTAATTTAAACACACATTAACCACAGCACTGTTGAAACATTAAGTTTCAACCTATCTGCTACATAATGACCTACAAATGTACACATCTTTGTTTAGCCGAAACCTTCAGTGCCAACATTTTTTCTGGCAATTATTTTGATTATTCTAGATTTTTCTAATTATCAACAAATCCCATAAAAAACTCAAACCAACAGTGTGTTAGCTGGTTTCTGGCTTCCGTATCAAGTGAATTTGTTCATCCTGAAGATACAAATCTTTAAAGAATAAGTCACAAACATATCACTTTATTTTAAAATAAAATCAGAGTAATTTCCTAGGACATCTGGGCACTGTAGTTTTTAGCAAACAATACTCCAACAGGAGTAAACTGGAGCATTTGTGGGGGACTATTTTCAGTTGCGTATTGATACACATTTAATGTCTCATAAGCTTTTACAGCAGCAGGACAGTGTACGTATCAACTCAATGTAAACCACAGTGCCCAGGTTCTTTGCAATGAAGGAACACACCACCCAGTGTGACTCATATTGCTGTTTTTAATAGTTTCGTGACAGCAGTGCAAAAAACACTTTGGTAACATTTTACTTTTTTGCTGGCACTTGTCACATTTCAACAGCTTATTAGTCGAGAATCAGCGATTCAAGTGTTTCTCTTTTTCTGTAGATGTTTAACAGATTATCTTTAGACGTGACAATCCATGAACACACCTCAATAATCTAAGGATATTTAGTTGAATTTAAACAATCCAAATTAAGTGTTAACAGTGCTAGTTACTAGGATGTTGGTCATGTTTTTTTTTGCAGGATTTGTCGACATGTCTAAAATATAACACATCACCAGATTTAAGATGAAGGACACTTTGACAAAACCATTAATGATGTTTCCAAGTTTGATTCAGAGAAATCATGATGGATAAATATATAAATATGACATTTGACTACACGCTCTAAAACCGCACTCTTGACGATTTCCATCGTGGAGACATGTAGTCCCGGTACAAAGCTGCCATCAGTCTGGAGAGAAACAAAGACAGGCACCACGCTGGAGAGCCTGAGACCAATGTGTCACTCAGAGAAGAAATGTCACAGAAAGCAGAGATGTGGGGAGAAAAGGCTTCCAGACAACACAATCGCACTTTCAGCAGGGGAGGTCTGACTTTACGCTGCCTGTCTATCTGCTTGTCTGCTACTCCGCTGCGACTACAAGATGATGAAGGAGCTCTTGTCCAAGTCTACACCCAGTCTAGTCCTCTGTGAACAAACCAGACTGAGCTAACAATAGACGGCCATGCTTATCAAACAGCCTGGCAACTTCATTAGCATCCTGCATGACCCAGAAGACAACCAAAGTGGCCCTACACACACACACACACACACACACACACACACACACTCATGAGCCAGACAACCCCTTCACTGGCCTTGACCCATGAACTCTAGGGTCCTTTTTCACCTGCTGTAGCAGCATTCATGCTAGCAGGGCTGTCTCGCCAGCGCCCGACTGTTCTGCATATGTTCTCCTCACATTCCCACGCTCCGAGCTCAGACCTCCAGCTCAGGAGACGATCACACTTTAAGCAGTATTCATACGGGACATTATGGAGATCAGCATTGTGTCTGACTTTTTCAGGCCTCATGATGACCACCCGTCTTCAGGACTTTTCAGACGAGGGAAGGCTTTTCTTTCCCTTCTTCCCCCTCAAATTGATGTGTTAATATTCTACAATGCCATGTCTGACTGGCGCACAAAGAAAATGCAACACATTCATCATTTTTTTTTTCTTGTTTGTGCTTTATGTTTGGAAAGCCATGTCTGCAAAATAACGCTCTCATGTCGTTCCTCCCCTTCCCACTATCCTTTGCTTCCCTCTCTTCGATTCCTTCTCGCTAAAGCTGTGTTGTTGATTCTCTTTCCTCGGCACATCAAGGGTAAACTCTCCTCGCCTTTTCCTTCCTCTTCCTGATTCTTTACCATATCTCATTGGCCAAAAGCATCTTCGCGTCTCCTCATTGGCTGCCATGACGGACAGAAACAGTGATGCGGCCAACATGAGGCTTCAGTATAGTAGGAGCGTTTAAGTGTTATTGTGAGAAATGGGGTAGAGCGTGTTCCTGCTCTCCGACAGATAATGTGACAGTCGGATGTGGAGGGGTGCGACGCTCGGCGGGGTTTTTGCGTTCAGATCATGTGAGAGAGACCTTGAGAGGCGTGCAAAAGCCTGTGACTGAATTTGCCTCGCCGCACAGCATATGGACACCCCTCATCGCTCTATGCAAATGGCCGAGACACAGACACATGTTCACAAATGCAGACAAACTACCCCCCTCCCCTCCCGTCCCTCATTAATTGTTCCTCCTAAAACCAGACACCCCCCCCTTCTCAAATAATAACCTCTCCACTAACACCCCCCACTCCATCTTCCCCTTATGAGCGACCCCCCACCCCACAGTCTAGACCCCGCAACCCTCTCTCACTCTTGAACCAGACGCCCCAAAAATCCCCCCTCCTCCTCCTCTCTCTCCTCTCCTCAGCTCCCACGACCAGCAGACAGACCCTATGATTCGCGTGACCGCCATTTTGCTGCCCACAGTAGAGCTAACTGTACAGCAGCTGCCTTGATGGGCAAATGCAAATACGAATGCTGCTTTGTTGCTCAGCCGCTCAGACGACTCTCATCGCATGAATTAACGCCCCCCAAAAACAAGACCTGCTCAATCAAATGCGACCATAAAACAACGCACTGCCGAAATGCAGAAATGTGAGATATTCATTTATACAACACTTCAATCCTCTGACTGCATAAACGGCTCCGAACGTCACCACGAGATCTGCATGTTCAATATATTTGAGGTTATTTCAAAGTCTCGAAGAGATGACAAGCAGCTCAGGCGTCCCTCATTTTCCTTTAACTGGTTCATTCTTGGAAAAAAAAAGCATCAATATGATACTTCAAAGCTCCACTGTTCTTCAGGCGGCAATTTGTGTTACACCGCCTATTTATATGTTTCATATGCAGCCCTTTTCTAGCAAAATCAGTCACCCCATGATTTGTTTAGCGCCATGGTAACCAGACACCCATGTGCATGAAAATGAGACTATTATGGTCTGTCTGTCTGGAGTTTGTTGGGCCTATGGATCCCTTTTTAATTAGAGTCTGTGTGCATGTCTGAGCTTCTCTGTTTGCTTAATGCTTTCATTGGTGCATTATGTATGTCCGTGTGTAAAAAAAAAAGCATGCGTGACAGAGCACTATCTGATTAAAAAAAAAAAAAAAACGGCTCGACTTAATCTTTTGTACAGTGTCACATTTGCATCCGAGGGAATCACATGCAAACACCATATGGTGCAGTAGGACCAGACTCTTGATCTCGCATGCACCCAACATCTATCAGACACATTTCAGGGTGCAAATACCCCAAGAGGAAAAACAAACGACACCAGATACACTTTAAAAAACATCGCTTCACTCCTTGCACGCTCGCCACTACGGCACGTTCACGGCAGCAATTATCAGCGCACGCCAACGACATGATGGTTGGAGGTTATGCAAATGCAATTAGCCTCGATTTGCATTCGACAACAGCTAACGGATGCACAGATGGCAGACAACAGAGATGCGCCCGCCATCTTTGGCAGAGGGGAGAGAGTGGCGGCCATTTTGTCTGAAGCTGTGCCCATCTGGATGGAAACAACCACGCTGCATTGCTGTGACGACGGCAGCAGTTTGGGAGCTGTGGGTGCACACTGCTGCTGCTCGCTGGCTTTCAAGGCCAAGCATATACAGTCCTTTCATACACAGAAACAGAGCTCTCTGCTGTGGGAAATGTAAAGAGACTAGTTCTCTCACATGATTCTAAATGTTCAGATCTGAGTGGCATCTTTTCAAAACATCTTAGTTAACCTGTTAACTTCCAAACACTTCCTGGTAACATCTTTTACAGCTGTAATCAGCATCCTAAAATGATCCCCTCTGATCGAAGCAAGGTGCAAAGTTACACACACACATGCACACTGTTTTAGGTAGGTGATGAGAGCACACTGAGAGTCATTCACAGAGTGGAAAATGTGGAGTGCTAAAGAGAGATACTTGCCTTTTTACCATCTCCACTACAAGGTGGGAAGGTCTCTTTGCTCTGTGATCGTCTGCCCTCTTTGCTGTGCTGGAATTGAATAACAGGCATCACGAAGGTAAAAAAATAAAAAAAAAAGATCATGCTTCATATGCCAGTGTTTCTGGTTTTAACAGACAGCTCACCATAGTAACAGCAAGCCAAGAGTGGAGGAGAAAATAAAGATCGTACTGTCTCTTTGTCAAATGTAAAAACTGTTTGGGGAATAAACAACGGGCGAGTCGAGGATGGAGAGCCAGTCAAAAGCAGAACTCCCAAACTGGTTTTTAAACAGCCAGAGGCAGAAGGTGGGGGATATGTCAATCTTATGAAGGGGAGAAAAAATCAAGAGAAAGGAATATCCCTCTTGGCGGTCTCTCAGCATTCTGGGTATTATTTGGGGAGTGATCCCCTTCAGCAGAACCACACACAGCCAGTGGAGTTCGGGACTGAGGTCCAGTCTAAGGAGTCGGGGCTGCAGCTGAGAGGGCCACGCAGGGCCTGTCCTTTGGAGGTCTGCGGGCCCCTAGGCCACAGACTAACACAGGAAACCCCACTCAGAGCTGTGCAGGCTCTGTGTTTGGTATTGATTTCTCCTGCATGCCGGTAGCTCCAGAGGTGCTTCTCGCCTTCGGGGACCTTCTCCATCCTTCCCAGCCCACTCACTAGCTCCCCGCTTGGGCTTCGCTGGCTCTGCTGGACCCCTGGATGGAGGTACGGGGCCACAGGAGGAGAGGAGGAAGACGAGAGCCCGTGGCAATGATGATGAGCTGCGCCGGGTCTCTGAGTTCAGTCATCTACCAGCCTTTATCCAGCCTTCCAACCACCCACCCTTGTTTCCATCTGAAAAAGGGAAAATAGAGTGTTTTTCAAAATCTCACCTTTGGCATTCAGCATCCCTCTGCTCAATGCAAATGCAAATGTAAACACTAACACTTTGATTAAAAATATGTGGGAAGAAAACGCCAACTTGCTCTTTTGTAACCTGCCCCAAGGCGCTCGCTGCTATACAGAAACAAATAAAAAATGCTCAGCATGCTGTATGAAACAGACACATCCATCTCTGTTCATATTCTAAAATGTTTTTTTCTGGAAATCATTCACATTAAAATTATTACGCATAACACTGTTTGCTATTAACATTCATTATGTTTAGTCATTTCTGCATGTCTTATGACTGACACAAATGAAACAGCGAGCATGATGACGGTTTTGATTCAAAACAAATAATTTGCATGGATTCCTTTACTGCAGAGAAATTTTCTGAAAGCATTCTGAATCCTGTTATCATGCTAATACAACATAGTCCTTTATGTGTCGCTTTGTTCTTTTCTATAAGAAAAACGAATTGCAGGGGCCTCCTTCAGTAACCGTGCACCCACTGGCCCCCATTTCTGTAAAAAAAAAAAAAAACAGCAGCAAAGACACATTCAGCCCAGTGTGGTTTGCTGGAAAATTAATAGGACATGGAAAGCAACGGGTTAAAGTGGCTGAGGTCAGTTATGGGATGGTTTGTTTGGGAGTTGGCTGTTATGTGCATGTTTTCATCATATAATGGGGGAGCGCCCAGAGTAGCCCCTGGCTTGGCCTATGCAGGGGAGTGACGTGGGGTGAGATTGGGTGAGCCGGAGGAAGATTCAGACACAATGCCCCCATTGAGAGGGTTCAGACATGGGTGTTAACTCCCCATTCCTTCACACACAATAGGGCCCCCCACTAGAGCCAGCGTAGGGGACAATGTTGGTTCAGGGCAGCCCTCCACCCAGCAAGAAAGAAAAGAGCTGCATTATCAAGATGGGAGGAGAGGGAAGGATGGATGGGGGGCAGGAGGAGAGGGACGGGACAGGAGATAGAGGGATATGTTTGTGTATGAGGAGGGGAGCAGAAAGGAGCCCTGTCTGTGACCCATGGCTTTGGACTTGAGGAACAAAACAGAGACTAACACGTCGTAGCAGCATCAGACATCCTTAAATACCAAACGTTAAGCACTAGGCCTACTCAGTATCATCATTACTCTAACATTAACAAGATAGTCATCATCAGCCTGTGCAGTACATATGGTCAGTCTAGATTTCGTCTGCTTTCTCTTGGCTCATGTTGCTCATCTTACTATTTCTGAGGGATAATTCAACATTAAGCCAAAAGGACAACAGTTGGAAATTAGCCATGTCACATATAGCCAACACAGATAACATTTTCAAGAAAGGAATGCAGCGCTTTTATCCAATCAGGAAATTTCTTTCATATAATATAAGCAAGACCATTTTAAGGACTGATCACAAAAGTCTTGTTGAAAGTGTTTTAACTTTCAATATGTGTACAATGTACGAGCACTCCAAGGCTAAGAACAAAAACAGATTGTCCAGTAAAATTATTGGGAAAGAGCAGAAACAACTGGGATGTGAAAATAAAACGCAACTGGAACTAAATTCCTGGAAAGAATTGTCTCTGATCCTGTTTAAAGAATTCATAAATTCTTCACATTGGAAATATGTCTGTTATTGTTGTCTGTACCTACTGTGCATGTTATGTTATTTATTGTATGTATTGTGAATTGATTATGATGTGTCCAGGTGAAGCTGGAGGCAAATGTCCATATTTGTGGACAATAAAGAATTTTACTGTAATTATATTATACGGGCATATTTACTAGGGGTGGAGGAAAAATGGATACAGTATAGTATCCCGACCTTTTTGTGTGGCAATATCGTATTGTTACACTGACGCCAAGTCTCAACATTTTTGTTATAGAAATTATTATTCAACCAAATACAAATTCAACTTTTGGTTGCCTTCTAGAATAATATATTCAATTGCTTTATCAGTCCACTACATACATTTCGATGCAATAAAAATGACTGTAGTGAGATGCATGGACTCTGCATCTTAAACATACAGTATGTAATTTGCCACCAGGTAGGTTCTCAATCAAAACAGTAACAAGAGATGGACTTTGATGATGTTGTGAAGTCATGTGGAATCATGGGAGTTGTTGTCTTCGCTGTTTTTGTGTTTGGTTTTGTTTTTTAGCCCGCCAACACCCCCTTTTTCTGAGGTTTACATTTGCCTTGTTTTTATTCTTATTAATTTATTCTTATCAATAGCCAATGAGGGAAAATACAATGATAATTCAAATAATCATAGTCATAAACAAACTAGGAACAGAAATGTACTCAAGAGTACAGAAGGACACACGTATGTGAGCTACAGCAACAACAAGTCCTGTGTGTTTTTTCTAGTGTCTAGGTGTGTAAGATGAGGTATGGGTCAGGGGTTGGGTTGTAATATGAAGATGACTGTAGTGAAGGGGCAGTGTTTAGCTCATCTGCAGATTGAGAGCCAGACTGGAGTCAGATATGAGAAACGCTGATTAAAGTCCATGATTTGATTGTTTTGTTTGGCCGAGATTTGCTGTAGTGAAATATGTTCAGTTGTTTTATGGAGAGGAGGTGCCCTTGTCTTCATTATTACAAAACCACCATTGCCGATGAAAATCCATGACGACTCATGTTCACAGACGAGTTTATGTAACAAAGTTTCTAACGTAACATTAACTTGGTATCCTCCTTCCTCACATCCTTCCTTCTCATATCCTCTGGTCAGGAGTGTAGGTTTCCCTGTCTTTGTCTGGTTACTTGCTTCCCAGGACATCTCGGTGTGCTTATTTGTGGCAAATAACCCTGCACGGATCAAACTCTACAATGTCTCTCTATGATTTGTCTTTGTGTCATCGCCACTTTTCTACTTTTCCAGTAGATCTTGAGGTTCCTACTGTAGTCAGAACAAACTAAGCCACTTTCATAAGTTGGCGAGCCCCAAGGTTAGAGCCTAATACGATGAAAAGGACACATATGAAAAGGAGTTTATGGTCCTCCCCCATAAAACACCTAATTTCCTGCATTTGTATCTCAGTGTTTGGTGTAAATGTCTTAAATTTAGTCAGAATAGAAGTCATCTGCTACTTCAGTGTTTCTATTGTTGGGGGTGGGGGCATATATTGAAGGAGACGTGTCCCCTGTGTCTCCCTGGAAACCTACGTTCATGTATCTGGTGTTGTTTAGAGCAACTAGATGGTTGAAAAGGAATGAGGCCACAGACAGGTGACCAGATAAAATGCGTCCTTGTACCTTGAATAAAATTACAGATGTCTCTGGGTTTGAACATTGTTGGAAAATTTGGAATCATGTAAGTAGAAGAAAGCCTTTATTGTCATTGTACAAGTACGACAAAATTAGGAGTGCTACTTCTGGTCAGTGCAATTTATGCACGTAATAAGACAAATCAGACAACAAACACTCATTCAGTACAGCTCAACAAAATATATACCATAGGTGTAGTTGTTTTTAGACATTTTAATGTGACCATGTTACATAGTATACTTTTAAGTGAGCATTTTCTAGAAACAGATGAAGACCACAGACCATATAAAAAATAGTAAATAGTTTCTATCATCATATAAAACTTGAGGATGTCAGAGCATCTCTACACCATCCACATCAGTGATCTGTTGGTTAGAGCTACAATGATCATTCAATTTTTGATTAATTGTCAACTATTAAATTAATCGCAGACTCATTCAATAGTCCATTAATCAGTTTGAGGAATTTTTAAAGAAATAAATGAAAAAGAAATTCTGATTTCAGCTCCTTAAATGTGAATATTTTCTGGTTTCTTCATTCTCTGTGACAATAAACTGAATATATTTGGGTTGTAGACATGACAAGACATTTGAGGATGTAATTTCAGGCTTTGGGAGACACTGATCAACACTGACATTTTATAGACCAAACAACTAATCAGTTAATCATGAAAATAACCAACAGATTAATAGACAGTAAAAATAATCATTAGTTGCAGCCTCACTGCTGTGAGATGTTGCTGCCTATTTTACAAAATAACCCTGAGCACCAGTTTCAATGTTTGCTGCACATACCTGCAATGTTCTTGGTTTGATTTCCACCAGTGACCTTTTTTTTGCACGTCATACCCCTCTCTCTTTCACAGTTTCCTGTCTGCCAAAAAATAAATCTAAAAAAGAAAAAAAGCTTGGTGCATGTTGTGCTGACTGACACGCAGGGATGAAGAGAGTGATGTATTGGCAACAGTTTGTAAAAGCAGCAGTATTTTCTTAGACCAGCAGCTCCACAATCGTGAACAACTTTTCCTCTTAAAGATGAAGCACGATTTGAAATGAAACACCAACATGTATTTTGTACATTTCAAAGGTTTCACTGAAGCACACACCCCGTTTGTGAGGTTTGATACACTGTCTGTGAATGAAATGACAGATTGGGGAGTTTATCTGCAGCCTTTAATGGCATCATGTTTGCAGCACGGAGCAGGAATCGCATCCTCCAATGACTTCAGCATTTTTTTTAAAAACATCTTAAGCGTTCCTCCAAAGACCGTATAACAAGCATTTGCTTGTTCGCAGTTGCTTGTTATATACTCTGCCGTTGTAAAGGAACACTGTTTTGGGAGTCAGTTTGGGAGTGAAGCTGACAGTGTTAACAAGCCGTTGGTAATGTAAGCGTATAAGCTTTTATTCCACCTTCCTTCTCCAGACAGGTAAAATCTCCTCTGGCTAAACAATGAGGGGGTTCTGCTTAAAATATATAAAGGAAGCTATCAGTTTGTTTGACGCCATGAGGCGGTATAGGTGGCGAGGGGAGGAGGGGGGCTGTAGGGGTAGCTGGAAAATGTTTATGGAGATCTTGTGTCTCTCTGGGAGTCTAATAGAATCCTGTGGCTGGAGTGAGAGCTCATTGTGCCGGTGTAAAGGATTACACTGGTAAACTGGTAAAACAGGGGAAAGAGCCCAAACACTCTCTGCCTCCTATGGA